GTTTAGACCATAGCTCACATGAGGTCCCAAAACGGGCAGCCGGGCCTTAGAGAGTTCCTCGTGTAGAGAATCCCTTATCTGGGTTGTTCGTTTAGTTGACAAAGCCTCCGGAACCAACGCACGAAAACCAGGTTCACTGTCAGCTATCTGAATGGACGAAGTGGACTTCGTGCTCAGTGAGCTGTGGAGGTCACAACTGGGCTGGGGTGAGCTGTGTCCACCGCAGCTGCATGTGCCCCTGTCCGATCATCGTTAATTGGCAGGACGCTTCCCTGACCAGGTGGAATGGCTTCACGTACGCGCAGCGAGGAAGTCCCCGCAAAGTATGGAGGCAGCCGGTGCAACTTCTTCTGCAAGGGCTTCAGGGGCACTTTTCAGCAGATTGAAGCTTCTTTGTTTGTGTGAGCTTCAACATGACACAGCATCGGCTGGTAACAGCTGCGGCTGCCATTCTCACAGTGTGCAGGTCACAGCTGTCAGGGCCCGATAGCGGCGGATGAGGCCCTGGGCATCGGAAATTGCGGCAGATGCTCTTTCTCTAGTCTCTTGTGTTCTTTAAGTTAGTCTGTTTCTCACGCTGACCAGGATCCCCAGAATGCTTGCCCTGCTAGCTTACAGCAGCTTGCCAACGCAGGCTTGCAACGCGCAGCCCTGCCCTGTGGACTGCGAGTGGGGCGCCTGGACAGAGTTCGATGCTTGCTCGGTGTCCTGTGGAGGAGGCGGGAGGGGGTCATTGCGCCGGAGCTTGTCACATGTGTTCAAGACAGCATTTACGTGATGAGATCCTGGCCCAGAATAGCTTTGAACATCTTTTGAACTGTTTTTGTGCCCAATTCATCCTGCAGGCAAGAAGCAGAAGAAGAGAATTGTATGGGTGGCTCCTGCCCATGGGGGCCGCGAATGCGAAGGCTTGCCGATCGACGAGGCCTGGGGTTGTCAAAGGTTTAAGGATATTATCCTCAACAATGGAGACACATATTATATGGAAAACGACATGGAAACCAGGAGCGTGATTAATGAGACACGTGCTTCGGATCAGATGCAGCTTTGCAGTTTCTGCGCCCTGTTGCTGCACCGCACATCTTTTGGAGCACTGGCTGGGGCATTTTTTTTTCGCAAGCTGTAGAGCCCACTAAGCCCAGGAAAGCTAGCACTGAAGTTTGGTTCCTCCCGAATCCACCTCGAAGTGAGGAGTCCTGCAACGAGCACCCGTGTCCCGATGACTGCCACTGGAGCGAATGGAGCAGCTTCACCGTGTGCAGCATGGCGCCTTGGAGCATTCAGCAAGGTCTCCAAAGGGTCCAAGGACCCAAATAATAGGGTTTTAGGGCCCAAATACTATATTATTTATGGTATTTGGATCCTAAAACCCTATTATTTGGGCAGACCCTGCAGCGATGCCAGCAGAAACTTTTTTGCGCTCGCCAAGCACGTTGCTACTTGCACGCAGATTTGCAGAAGTGCAGCAGTTGCTGCTCACGGAACCGCTCATTGTAGCAGCATTGAAATGCATCGCACAGAGAGGGCAACTGCTGCATTTAGCTCACAGAAAGACCCAAATCACGAGACTCGACCTTGTGCAGACATGCGGTGGCGGCACGACCGGTCGGACAAGGAGCATTGATTCCTGGCTGCGCTTGCAGGAGTTTTGCAGGCTTAGCACATGGTAGTCTCCCAACAAATGGGGACCCCAATAGAGGTCACAAAACACTAACGGTAACTATAATCCTTGATATCAGGACCCACGAAATGGCAGCCCTGTTTGGGACACCCCCATATCTTTGCATTAGTGTTGCATCTGGTCAGCATTCACGTTTTTGCGAGATGCTTGCATTTTGGGGCTGCGGGTCCTGCATGAGGTGTGCTAGAGTCCAAGCTCCTTCAAGGTGGTTACATACGGGACTACTGTAGGGTTATTCAGGGATACTCGGAATTTTGATCATAGCTCAGGTCAAGGAGGAACATGATGGAGGCACTCCCTGCGAGGGCGACACCGCGGAACAGTTACCTTGCAATGTGCCGCCCAGCCACATTTGTTGAAAGCACAATTTTTTTTTTGCAAGCTCCTCAAATGTGCGCATCTTCTCAGTTTTCCATGTGAGGTGCAGTTGGCGAGCAGGAGAGCAGGAGAGAATAGAGAGCAACAATCTTTTTGACGAGGTGTGGGTGCCATCGTACACTTAGGCTTGTTCGGGTAGATGCCCCGGGGCCCCCACATAGAACAGACCCCCTAAGCATTCATTAGAGTCCCTTAAAAATCCCTTCGGAGGGTCCTTAGGGGTCCCAATCTAGGCATTTACCCTCTCTCAGGGTGCAGAGCCGGGTTAAGGGTTTAGGGAACTACATATCGTGCGCCATACTGTGGGCTACCTAGATATGTAGGGGCTGTACCTGGATTACATATGGGTTGTATGAGGTACTGAGCGTACAGTCTCCTCAGAAGCCCTGAGCATTGAATCCTAAGCCCTAAATCCTAAACCCTAAATAAACACTAAACCCAAATTAATCCCTAAACCGTCACAAACCCTAAGCCCTAAATACCTAAACCCTAGATAATCCCTAGACCCTAAATGAGCCCGAAACCCTGAATAAACCCTAAACCCTAAAAAAACCCTCCCAGTCCCTGAGTAGTGGAGTTTCTGGTCTGCAGCATGAGGCAGATCTGTCCCGGGGATTGCCAGTGGGATGAGCAACTTGCCATGCAGTTCAGGGTTAAAGGTTTAGGGTTTTGGGTTGGTGGTTAAGATTCAGGGTTTGGGGTTAAAGGTTCAGGATTTAGGGTTTAAGGTTTAGGCACAGCCGTCTGAACAGTCAAAACTCCTGGGTTACTCCATTTTCAAGGTTTATGGTTTAGGGAAAGCTCTTGGGTCGTCGTCTTTTTAGGGTGTAGGTTTAGGGTTCAACCCCCATTCCTACTGCTGCGTCCACTGCTGTTACTACATCTTACCATTAAGATTGAGCAAGCATTGTCATTGTTATGACTAGGTTGCCAACCATCTGAAATGATGGCGCCTTTCAGGCAATGAGGATTTTGTTGTTGCTGGTGCTGGTGCTGGTGCTGCTGCTGCTGGTGCTGGTGCTGGTGCTGGTGCTGGTGCTGCTACTGCTACTGCTGCTGCTGCTGCGGCTGCTAATGTTGGCGTTGTTGTGGGTTGCTGCTGTCGTGGGATCGTCTGGGTTTCCGAAAATTGGGGCCCCTTCTTGGCAGTCCTTACAAGAAGGGCATATTGGTGTCTATATATTGGGCCCCCATATCAAACCTTACAGAATCCCTACATAGCTATAATCCCAAAACAACCCCAAATAAACCCCATATGAGCTCCTGATGTCAGTATTAGCCTCATTTAGGGACTTTGTACAATGGACATAGGCGTCCCTCTTGTAGGTCAGTATAGGCCCCTGGTATAATCCCAAATAAGGAACCCATGTCCATCAAAATATATAGCTACTATTGACTGTAGCACATATAACTTTCCTGCCTAAACTCCCCAAGCCCTAAACCCTCAGCTGTAAACCCTTTGACCCATTTGGATCTTGATTTTCTCAGGTGGAGTTCTTGGACTCCCTGTAGCAAATCCTGTGGGGGTGGCGTGATCCGCCGCTTTCGCCAGCTGGCTGAGATTACTCAGAGGGTTCAGGGTTGAGAGCATAGCGTAAGAGTCGAGGGTTTAAGGTTGAGGGGGGCCCAAAAGAATGTTATAGAAGCAGTCAAGGAGCCTGATTTCCTAATAGTTGCAGATGTCGAAGGCCCTGAACCCTGGGATCCTTACATACCCACTATCTACCCTATATGTACCCCTATAAGAGTCCCTAGAATCCCCCTGAAGGGCTTAAGGGCCCATAGTAGGGGCCCATTCTTGCAACCCTGGAATGTGTGGAGCCCCTGGACTTTCACGAAGCTTCGTGACGCAACGCCCTGGCGGGAGGAATGCTAGTCAGTTGTTCCAGGCAAACTGAGCCATTGCTATCGATCGCGCTAGATAACCCTAAACCCTAAACCCTAAACCCTAAACCCCAAACCCTAAACCCTAAACCCTAAACCCTGGTGAAGAAAACGACGAAGCGGAGGCAGGAGCCCGAAAGCACGAGCGAAGAGGTGACGGCCGGCTGGAGACGAGCACCTTCCGGTGCCGAAGCAGCCACTACCCTACCACTACAGCCCAGCCGCCATGTGCCGAGATGGTCCAGCGCCAAGAATTGATTGTACAATGGTGGGGATCGAGAAGGAGCCTACGTGGTGATGTGGCACGTGGGTGCGCAGAAATAAAGTTAAGTTGCTGTGCATCCGCTCGTCACGTTTTCACCTAGCCCAAGCAAAGTGACCAACAAATGGTTTCACCACCCGTTTTTCTGCACCACCGGTGCGCAAGGGAGCAGTTCTGCTTCCATGTTGCAACGTACCCGGAAGGCTTGACTCACTTTAACGGCCTGGGCTAGCGTTCCTACCATATTACTGCAGGCCAAGAGCACCCTGCTGCAGCGCAGCTTTTCGGCAGGGCGCTCCTGACCTGCAATACACGGTAACACAGCTGCCCGCTCTGGTTGCTTTCTGGGATTTCCCGCTCTGGGATTTCCCAGGTGCGCTACGTGCGACGGAATGCTCCAACTGAATGTTACGATCGTGTTTTAAGCATTGCCCGCAGGGTCCTTAGATCCAAAGCTGCTATGATGGGCACGCATGCGAAATCGGCCCCCAGCAATACCCCACTTAAGGGATTCGTTCCTCTCTGTTGGTTATGTCTAAACAAAACATCAAATAGCAACCAGAATTCACAGGGTCCTGAGCAAACTTTATGAAAAAGGAGCAATGATTTTCAGGCATCATCATGCGTACATAGGGTGCAGTGTGGCTAGCCTTCCGGCTGCATGAACTGTAGCAGCTACCTAGAAATCGGACTTTTTTGGGTTCCCGCTGTCCATGGCTTTGGCATTTGCTGTTTCAGCCAGGGAAGATCGGCTTGTTGTTAAGGAGCTTAACTTAAGTTACCATAATAGGTATATATAGTAGATAACAGGGCTTCCCGCAACACAGTGACTTGAATCAAGTTCCTTCTCTTTCTTTATATATAACCCTAATATAGCCCATATAATATAGTAGTTTCCATTTTATTTTCCATTATCCCTATATAACCCCAATATAACCCCAATATAACCCCTACAGCCTAGTCAGACAGCAGGATCTCACTTCTGCCACAGATAACTACCAGCCCCGGTTTGAGCTGCCCAGAAAATTTAGGGTTTAGGGTTTAGGGTTTAGGGTTTGCATCCTTGATGTCAACTTTTAAGTTTATGTTACCATCATGAGGTTTAGGGATTAAGGTTTGGGGTATGTTAGCACCATGAACCTTTTCCAATCTGGCATTGAGGTTCCACTTTACCATCGTAACTAGATTGAGCAGCTCCGACGAATGAATTGGCAAACCGTATGTGGCCCCTGGAAATGACATGAGAGTGTATCAAACCTATCCCATTAGAATGCTTAACAGGGACTTATAATCCTCAGACATGCCTTGTTGTCCCTAGGATCCCCTGTCTTGAGAAACTCCCAAGCCTTAAGCCCAATATACCTTATATTGGGTTTAAGGCATATAACCCGTATATAAGCCCCGTGTACCCTCTGTGTAACTCCTACATCCCCTTGAAAGGGACTACAGTAACTATAGTACCTCTGCGCACTAGGTGATGTTGTGGAGCCTGGCCACGATGGAGGTGCCAGCTGCACAGGCGATGCTGAACAGGCCAGGTCACACGCCTTATCCCCGTAGGACTAATGGTTAACATGTTTTCTGGCATAACCCCCAGGTAACTATTAATCATCGTATTTCTGGTATGACGACTATAATGATATGTTTACAGGGATTGCAGACACAGCATGGTTTCCCAACGGAGGGTCCAATTCGTACCGTTTTCAATGTCATGTAGGGTTGGCCCGAAGGTATGCTGTAGTGCTTTGGACCTGTCGTCAAAGGAGTCAAAGGGTCTTTTGCATGATGCTTTTGCACATGGATGGAGGGTTGCTACTGCAGGACGTGGGAGTTCACAAGCAGCCCTTCTATGATACCCAATACCTTACAATCCCCCTATCGTCCCGAGATATGCCCTGGGTCAGTAAGGGTGGCCTATTCGGTTTGTGAAGGAAGCTCCGTGCGATGCAAGCAGCTGACGCTTGGCCGCATAGAACCTCTGCGACTCCCATGAAAGGGTCATAGGGGTTTAGGGTTTAGGGTTCAGGGTTTAGGGTTTAGGGTTCAGGGTTTAGGGTTTAGGGTTTAACGAAGTTATAGGGATCCCTTTAAGGGAGTTATAGATAGGGTTCAGGGTTAGGCTCTAGAGTTTGGCTTGGTCTCCAAAGGCGGATAACTGTAGACCCAAGACAGGTAGGTAATGGGGTTTTTGAGGGGACTGTAGGGCTTTTTTAAGAATCACATGGGTGGTTGTCAAAATTATGATGCTTTTCCGCGTACCCTAAATATCAGGTGCCGTATTATAATAGGGATCCAAAAGGGGACCATAAGACAACCACCAATATAGGGATGATATTGAGCCACTACCCTGTGTCGTGGCACCCGTCATTACTGAGGCCCCGTCGACTGTGTGATCACTGATTGGTCGGACTGGTCGGCTTGCTCTACATCCTGCGATGGTGGTGTCGTTGTCAGGCATTGAAAGCAATGGTTCCTCTTGCGTAGTATAGGTTTGCCATGTGTACCATTGTCTAAACTCCTAGTATCCCCCTTAATAAGCCCTATAGTAGTCCCATATATAATCCCCTATATAACCCCTTTAAGGAGTTTAGACTATGGTTCATGTGAACACAAGCCTTGAAGACAACAACATAGGACGATTTGGTAGATTGCTTCTAGCTCGCGAGGCAGCAGAATCCTGAGGGGTTGACTGTTGCTGAAAACGCTTGAGCGTGATGCCTTCATGTGCAGGTTCAGAGTCGTTCAAGTTGAAGCTGCCGCTGGGCAAGAGAAAGCCCTAAATCCTAAACCCTAAGAGCAGCAAGCTTGTGTGTGCAGGGTGGATCAAGGTGTCACCTAGTCTGAAGTTACAGGCCTACGGATGATACTAAGACTTCCTGCTGACCCCAAGCACCTTTTAGTTAAGATCTTGGCAATGATGGTAGTATAGTATGGGAAGGTCCAGCGGGATTTTTAAGCATGAATCAGCATCTCTTTTCATTAGATACTCCATGGCTTGGATGATGTTCCCCAAAGCCTTCTGTGACCCCTCAATAACGTCCCTACTAGTATATACAGTATACACGTATATACTCTATTGGGATCATGTTCATATGATATAGACCCTAAACCCTAAACCCTAAACCCCTAAACCCTAAACCCCTAAACCCTAAACCCCTAAACCCTCAACCCTAAACCCTAAACCCCGCACTCTGAACCCTACAGAAGATCAGAGCTCAGGCTTTTGGCGGGCTTCAGTGTCACCTGGCAGCAAAAGCGGAAATTCTCCAAGCGCTGAAGTTGTCATTAGGGTTTAAGGTTTAGGGTTTAAGGTTTAGGGCTTAGGGTTTAGGGTTTAGGGTTGGGGGTCCCCCGAATAGAACAACCCCCCACGCCCCCTGACATAAGATATTCCCAGGGGCGCTTGAGTATGAGAGGCAGGGGATTAGTGTTCTTTGCATAATCCGCACAAAAGGTTTCGTCCACAGGCCCCACAGAATGAGTCCCAAATCAATCCGACATTCATGCAACAATGTATGTGCGCAGGCGCATCATAAAATGAGGGTCCAAAACCCAAGACATTGTCAAATAGGCGATTTTTCAAGCATACTGCAGGGCCCTATGCCCCAAACCCTAAACCCTAAACCCCCAAACCCTAGACCCGAAACCCTACACCCCAAACCCTACGCCCCAAACCCTACACCCTAAACCCCAAACCTTAAACCCTACACCCTAAACTCCAAACCTTAAACCCTACACCCTAAACCCCAACCCCAAACCCTGACAGAGAGAGCTTCATAAGCAGCCCGAGGTCCGCAGAACCTCACGGAATCCTACGAGTGTGCTGCAGTCCGAAACTCAGAAATGGGAGTTTGGGGTTAAGGGTTTCAGAGTTTCTTGGTTTCAAGTTTTAGTCTAGGTTTGGGCTGTAGGGTGTAGGGCTTGGGGTTTAGGGTTTGGGGTTTAGGGTTTGGGGCTTAGGGTTTGGGGTTTGGGGTTTAGGGCTTGGGGTTTAGGGTTTGGGTTTAGGGTTTGGGGTTTAGAGGTGGGGCCTGCAGAGAGATTATTAGCTTCATCCTCACTCCCCGATATTAAAATTCCTCCCCACCACCTAGTATTACATATTCCGACTCCATGCTGAAGTTGAATGGCATTTCACAAGACAACAAGATGGTCTGCCGCGCTGATGTACCCTTGGAGTGAGACAGAGGTCGGGAACCAAATCTAGCAAAAAAAACTGACTACAATATTTTATACCACACTAAGAATATTGAATGATAGGGGCGGGAGGTTGTAATACCTTTGGGAGCAGATTATTATCAGGGGAGTATATAGGGAAGGTTAGGGGAGTATAGGGGTCCTTGTTGAGCATTCTTGGGGGCTTGCTTTGGAGCAACTCGCATCTAGTTTTGTCAGCCCATTGTAGCTCAAGCGATCATGATCCCCAGATCTTGGCTAGGCATGCCCGTATGCGATGTGTCACCTGTTCGTTTTGCCTTGGCCATAGGCACATACAGAGTGCGCCTTCTCATGGACTTACAGGGAGACACGAGTACCAACGGGCCTCAAGCGTGCTACCTAAGGTGGACCCCCCACCCAGTAATAGTGACTATACGGGAACATAGGATTATATGTTCCTAGTATACCCCTAAACCCTAAACCCTAAACTCTATGTTAGGGTCCTATTATATTCCTATTACACCACTATTACAAGGTGGGGGGCCACCTAAGTGCTACCACTCAAGCTGGCTCAGGGCCCGTGCCCTGTCGACTGCAAGCTTGGTGACTGGAGGCCTGAGATGTTGGGAATGCGAGTTGTCCGTGCATAGTAGTAGTTAAAGTATTCATATTTGAATGGTAATAGTAGTAATGATAGCTATACTATGAGTAATTATAGTAGTAATAATAATAGCATAAATGATATTAGTAAACAAAACGTGTTGCTGTAGCGCGGCTGCCACACTTGGACGCACCTGAACACTGTAGCACATTATAGCATCTGAAAGCACATGGATGATGTGGTCAGGCCTCTCAGTCAGACTTCAGCCCCTGTGGAATTTGTGATCCATTTTGCTACCTCCACGCCGCGACAACGCAGGGATTGGACCGCGTGCTCCACTTCCTGCGGGCACGGCCAGCGAGTCCGCACCAGGCTGTTCCTTGGGGGATGTCGGCCAAATCTGGCTGCAGAAGCAGCAATTAATCTACGTGACACCGGTGTCCAACCATGAAAATGCTGGGGAGCATTTACTAACATGAGTTGGGCAGGCTTCGAGAAAACGAGCGCTTCGGCGGGCTTCCATGTGATGAGGTGCGTTCGCTGTGGTCCCACGTGTCATCACTTGTACAAGTGATACATTGGCTGTCTTATGACTGTTGCAACTCATGTCTGTGTCGCTTTCGTTGACAATTGCGGCAGTATAGAGCTGATTGAGACAAAGCTTGAAAGGCTGACTCTCGCAAAAGCGTAGAGGGTAGCTGGCAAATGTTGCGCGTGTCTACGGAGGGCTGGGCTTTAAGATCTGCCCTTTTCATTTTTGAGTCTGAAATGACTTTTGGAAATCGCCAGGCCCTGGTGCAGGAAGAGGAGTGTTATGCGGCAGCTCAGCTGCAGGCAAAAGAGGTGGCGCTTGATTTTCAGAGAGCAGAGGGCAGGCAAGTGTCTGTGTTAAGTGACGCTATAGATTTTCGTGACATAAGTTTTTTGACGTGCCGATGTCCGCCCACTTCTCAGGCACCCATCCATCCGCAATGCCCCGATCTGCCCACTACCCACTCGACAACGCTGCACCTGTCCGACTTGGCGGCGGCAGCTGCGGCAGCATCTCCTCCCATGCTCCCGCCTAATCTGGCGAAAGAGGCTGGGCTCCAGAAACTGTTGTGCACGGGCATATAGGGGTACATGGGGATATATAGGGATATAACATAGGGGTTATATAGGGCTACATTTATATGCCCAGCTGCATGGGAAGCTGCACACCTCCCTCCCTCAACACATGGGCATGGGCAACTTAATGTGTGCGGTTTTTTTCTCCTCTTCTTGCATCGCGCCCTTTGTTCTTTGGATTTTCTGGTGCATGCAGTCAGGCATCCGAGTTCGCAAAGAAAGGAGATGTGCAGGGCTTGAACAAGTACCTAAAGGAGGCTGCTTGGTCACAAGTTTTATGGGGCGTCCGCAAAACGCTAGGCGCTTTCGAGTGTAACCAACTTTTCGGGAGATTAAACTCTAAGGGTCAGAATGCAATGCGGCTTGTACCCGGCGAGTTACTGCGCACATGCTGTTATTACTGGTTTTTGTACGGAATAAGGGGCTATAGTAGATTGGGAATCTTTGAATTCTTGCTGAGATCCTAACCTGAAGCATGCTTGGGATGCGCGAGGCAGAGGCAATGAGACCAGAGTTGGCGACGGGCAGCGATTATGATCCGCTGCATTTTCATGGTGACTTGGATCATCATGAGCTCATCGGCTTGGCAAGACATGAGCTATAGCCTAAACTCCTCAAAGGGGCGTTATATAGGGGACTGCTATAATCAGGGGTGGTAAAGGGGGATGCTAGGAGTTTAGACTAGAACCCCCCAAAATCCCTTACATAATCATAGTTTCCATTTTCTTTTCCACCTGATTCTCGATTAGTGGGGGATAGTTCAAACTAATGCTTAACCCTTATCCCTAATCCCTTAAACCCTAAAACCTAATCCCTTAAACCCTAAACCCTAATCCCCTAATCCCTTAAACCCTAAACCCTAATCCCTTAAACCCTAAACCCTAATCCCCTATAGAACCCCCTTTAAAG